TTCAAATGATTGAAAAAAAAAACAACTTTTCCTCAAGAAAATCATCCGGTTTATTTTATTTTTAACCTTCTCCGACCCAAAGCGAAGAACCGCTGAAAATTTCATCAATATTGGTTCAACCGTTCTCGAGCATTAGCGTTACTAACAAACAAACATTCATTCGCTTATATGAGGAAAAAGAAAAGGGTTGTTTTTAGGCGTTTTTCAGCAATTCGAATTTTTCTCACCGTAAAAACCATCTTTGAAGCACAACGAACACTTAAAAAAAGATTTGGCTGAATTGGTCCAGCCGATGTTGAGTTATGCGCTTTACAACACATTTTGCGATTAATTGTTATACATAAGATAAAATTGTAATATATAGAAATATTTTATTACAATTGCATACATTTAATAATATTATTAGTGGATCAGGCCACGCATTGTTGTGGTATACATTTCATACTATATTTATATAATAATCTATTCAATACAGTGAAAATTTAATTTACGAGTAAAGGCGAAAACGTTTTTATCGGTATAAGAATCCATGGGATTGTACTTAAGGTTAAATTTTGAATATGTTTATACAAATAAATTTCATTGGAAAAAATATCGAATTTAAAGCTGACTTTTCAATGTCTGGTTACCAGCCTTTCTGTCCAGTTAATAGAGTTGTCCGCTTAATAGGTTGTACTTAATAAACATCAACAATGTGCATGGTTGGTGGATATTAATAAAACTTCTATTTAATAGAGGTTTCAATGTATTTTTTATTTATGAATTGCTTTTACTATCCTATCTTCTAAGTTGGTTCGAACTGAACAGTGTGCTAAATTTTACTAAAATCGGTTCAGTTACTTAGGAGTCCAACGAGGACAAACAATGTGACACGCGCTTTTATATATAAAGATAATATAATTTCACTTATGTATCTGTGTTTATTAAACATAAATCAGATATTATTCATATACGTATATGGAGAAGTGAAATGTGAACTTATATCAATGTTTAAATTGTATACTTTAATACTAAGTGAAGGATGTGAAAAAATTTACTTAAGCATTATGAAATATCATATGTACATAAATTTTTTGGAATATTTAGAAGCGAATATTTAAAAAAAATAAGTGTTAGCAAAATATTCCACCTACGGAGATGCTTCCCTATCAGCACATACCCCATTTATACCGAAATTCGTTTTCAGTACCCGACTGTAAACCAAACCTCACACTCTCCGTGGTGAAGTCACAAACTAATTTATTTATTCGCATTTTTATGTTGATATGGACGGTCTGTTCGACGGAGAATTACTTTGCTATAAGGGTATACATGAAATATATATACACCACACAATTGCACAATCGCTTACATATATCCGACACGAAGCTGAGAAGGTGAAGTATTTAAGAACCATTCGCTATAATAATCAAACAGTGTCAAAACAAATGTGAAATACATCGATTAAAAAATGCGGCACTTTTACTTCAAAGTTGTTAATTGTATTCAAGTGCAAGAATCACTAAATATTGATATTAAAAACCTAATTAGGGTATAATATGTAAATGTGTGTTAATACTTCATGTTAAAAAATGATTCAGATCACCAATAACGAAATAAATGAAATAGCAACGAACTAAAATGCAGTACACAGTGTAAAAGAAAATGTCAAGTTCCACATATGCATATGATAATGTAAGTGTTTATAAGCGTATCTATCTAAGTATATAGTACATATGTATATTGTTACCCGTCAGTACGGCGACAGTATAAACAGTAGAAGACCTTTTCGTGGTAGCTGTCTGAGGGGTGAATAGCGGCCATCTTGGATTTCAGCGGTAGCAACGCAGTGTATATTTTGAGGTAGTAAATAAGAGGCAAAAACTACAAATACTGTTATTTAATAAAAATCAAAAATTATTTATTTATTGTAAATTTTTATAATAGATGATTTAAACGTCATAGTGTGTCATATTTCGTTCTTAAAACATTGATTTAGTGACAATGTATAAAATGAGTCTCTGGTACTTGATATTTCGGTGGTGAGTCTTCTAAGACTGTATTAATTTATTTTTTTGTTTTTATTTAAATAAGTTATTTATGAAATTATATTCTTACATCTAAATGTAAATTTCAACTAATTTTCTGTTGTAACGGCTAACCAATTAATAATTATATGTTAAACGAATGCTTACCACCCAGGTCTGTATTTTTTTGCATGTAAAAGTTAAGAAATTATTGAAGCGTGTTAAAAAAAAACAACTTACATAATAAGTAATATCCCAGTAAAATTAAGAAACATGCAAACTAATTAAAATAATAAATAACGTAAACAATTGCATTACATAATATGTATTAAAGTGTTGCTCATCAATCCTTAAAATTTATATGTAGCTTAAATGCCAACACAACAGGAGAAACACGCATTTAAATTTTTGAGCTTTAAATGCAAATATCTCAAATACCATAAGTCAGCGGCAATTATATATAATTATATATTTTTCTTGATCTGGAGGACCGTACATACTCATTTAACCCCGAAATCGGGGGATGCTGTTCTAAAGTTTAGCCATTATATCTTTTAAAATATTCCACTTTAAAAATTCAAAAATTTGTATTAATAACACAATATTTCTCAATGTTTCACTCATTTTTTTCTAATGTTTTACTTTGTATATTAAAAAATATACTTTAAATATTGAAATAAATTCACATTTCTTTTTTATTTTATTATTTTTTTAGCTAAATTTGCTAATTTAAAAATCTCTGAGCACACTCATTACTGAAATGGTTAGAGTGTTTACTATTATTAAGAAAACCAGCTTTGCCACATCTTAAAATTTAAACATAAAGTATTTTTCAACGACAGCGATTTTTTTCTTTGTACTTTCGTGTGATTCTCTTTTCTATACTAAGTACAATAAAAAATTATTTCCTACATTTTCAAGCTTTTAGTAAAGAAATGAATTTTATGGAGAATTTTTTCTTAAAAGTACGAGTGTTCTAAGTATATGACCACCACTGTATTATGTTATTTGTTATGTACTTAACGTTGTGTTTGCCGCTGTGCCAAATAAAATAAAATTATTAGATTCCAATAGAATTCAAATTTGTGTATTTGAGTGCATAGAGAACAAGTGTTTATACAATTAAGGATTATTTGCGGATATAAATATAAATATGGGTATATATCTAACCTGATATGGCTGTTATTATCGTTGTTATTGCTGCTGATGCTGCGTATGTTGATATTGCTCCGTTTAGTCCGTCCGCTGTGAGGTACAGTAGACGCTCGGAAATTAGAACCACTTTGTTTTTGGGGTAGTTCTAATTTCCGAAATGTTCTAATTTCTGGACGGTTTTTTTTAACGTAAATAATAAAACTAAGAGTTAAGCCACTTCCAAAAACTATATA